GACAACTGGGAAGCCAGTGTCAATAGTTATATTTACTTGCAGCATATCTTAGCCGAGGAACAAGTCCTTGTGGCCTTCCAGTCCCTCAAAGATGAAGCGGCTAGCTTCGCCAGGTCTCTTGCGCGTACAGCCGGTTGTGAAAACAACCTGGTTGCGTATTCCAAAGTCACTCCTCTCTCCCAATTCCTCAAGCTCCTCAAGGAGCGGTTCGCTGACCCAACGCGAGGCATTAGAGCCTCTGATAAGCTCCAAATGATTCACTTTCGGCACTGGAGGAGTGCTAAGGCACTCAAGGGTACTATGGACGACTTGGTAGCCGTCCCGGACCACGGGGTCACCGAGCCCCAGTTGGTCCAGTTGTTTTATCGTGCCATCCCAAAGGCCCTACGCGGGCATTTCTTTGACAAGTCTCAGCAGGCCGACATCACATATGATCAATTGAGTAGGGAGGTCGTCCTGTATGAGTCAAAGTCTATGCCAGTTACCACTTTCCGGCATAAGGACCTGGAGAAGGGGAAGAAGTGGAAGAATCGTACTATCTCAGGCCAAGTAAAGGCCAAGGACCACATGATCCTGACGTTAGAGGAAGGTGGTACTGATGAGGTCCCATATGATCAGATTGAGTGGGGCCTTGAAGATGATGGCAGTAATGTGGGGCAGGGGAGGTCTTACGCTGCTGTCGCGGCTGGAGGGAGGCCGCAAGGAGGAGGAGGAGGCCAGGGCCAAAGGGGCCAGGCCATGGGAGGCCAAGGACCGGGCGCACAGGGGGTTGGTGGACAGGGAAACCGCCAAGCGGGAGGTAGGGGTCAAGGTCCCCCGTCAAATCGCCAGGGTAATCGGTCCCCACAACGAAGAGGTGGAAGGGCAACTCAAGGAGGTTGGCACCCAGGCTTGCCACAGGGCAGGCCCTGGGAAGACTTGGGTTTGGACCGACAATTATGGGTCAGTGCGTATTCTGTGGTGACCCGGCCCACGTTATCAAATTTTGTCCAAAGTATAGACAGGCCCGTTGGGCTGCCCAGCAGTCAAAAGGCAGCCGCCAGTAGGGGTCGCAACTGCCCCTACTTCAAGGCCATGTGGAGAAGTGAGCGCGCGCGAACAGGACACTCCCAACCCATATGAGCCTATGACAGAGGTTGCAGGCCCGTGCCTAGATAGTTGTCCAGAGACCGCCTGTGTAAGCGTCTCTTTAGGCACGTTCCTCACAGGTGTGGCAGAAGAATTAAAGGAGAGGATGCCAGTCTGGGCCAAAATGAAGAAGGAGAGTAAAGGACAGCTGATTTTGGTAGATGTAGAGGTGTTTAGGAGTAGGGTAGGGGCCCTTATAGACTCAGGGGCTACCCGTAGTTATATCAGCCGTAGGGCGCTGAAGAAGCTGAGGCTAGGACTAAAGGTC